ACTGATGGGGGGAAATGATGAGAAAAGGCCTCAAGTGTAAAAAAAAAAAAAAAGATGAATGGAAAAGATGAAAAGATGGTCTTAGTGTCCGGATGTAAATAGTGGCTTTAAGGAGCTTCCTTTAGTGCAATCATTCAAAACATAACTCGATAGTCATCTCGGTGTTATAAATGGATGTGACAAAAGTAAGTACTGGAGTAGATTAATTAATTGATAAATGCATTTGTGGTACACTGATGAAGTCGATCATTTAAGGTATACATATTGTAGTAGACAGATTTGTTACCTATTAAAGAGGAATCTTTAAAATAAATTAATCTTTTATCATATCTAAATTATTTAGAAAAATCTAACTTTTCTAAAATTGGATTAGAAAGTTGGATTAGAATCGGCAGTTTGCCGATTGACAGCGCAGGCTCGGTAACAAATTATCATCTCTTTTCAGTGCTCCATCTGAGCTTTCTCCCATTGACTTGAATTTCTCTGGTAGAATTAGACAAATCAGCGAACAGAAGAAGTTGTAAACTATGACATTGATTTTCTGTGCTGTTTTAGAATCGTAGTCTGCCTGTAGTTTTATCAATGGAAGCAGAGGAAGTGAACGAAGCCGTTCAGTCAATGTCGGCCACACTTTCACTTATTGAATTAACCTTATCAGCCGCCTTGTTTGGATCAGTTCTTCTCTCTTTGCAATGGGGGATGGCTGTTTGTAGCGCAGGTAATTTCTGGTAAGCTTCATAGCATTAAACTGGAACATTTCATGTGTCACGGCCAAATATAAGCTATTGGGTAAAATTTAAACACAGGCCACGCCTCCAGGAAGTAATCGTTTCTCAATAGCCGAAGGTTCACACCGCCTGTACAAAGTGACGCATAGAACAAGATGCCGGTTTTTACCAGCCTAGTTCCTAATGGTATGAGGTAATTTTTCGATTAGTCATTCTTTGTTTTACGCTAAACCATCCTGGAGTGTTTGCAGTGAACGTTCCAGTAGAGTTTAGCAAACTCCACACCTTATGTTGGACAGAAAAATACCTTGCCTCTCAACCAACCCTTTGGCTCGTAAATGGCATCAAATAGATGTTACAAAGACTTGGTGAAGCCAAGATGGCACTTTGATGTTCCAATTTTCTAGAGACTTTTTACATTCCCTTAGAATGCTGCTCTTTGTACTTTGTGACTAGATATATGTGGGTCCTCACCAGGCTAGTGGCTGGACCTCTGCGTCGTAATATTTCCACTGTAGAGAAACAGAGTGCCATGGAAGTTCTTAGAAAATCTGGTTGACCTCAAATGTACAAGTTATTGCGATTCCTCAATAAATACTTATGAATACCGCAATATCAAACTCCTCTTTGAACATCAGGTGTCTGTTTGTTGCATATATCACACTATTTCTTCATATTCAAAAAGTCCCACTCTGGACTCCACGTCTTATGATCCTTCTAGCTTTCTGCAAATAAAGTTTTAACTCACCAGTTGCTTTCAGAAGCAGTACAAATCTGGGGCTCACATGGTGGGCCCATGAAGCCTATGTTCTAGGGGGGGGGGAGGCACAGAGCAGCAGGTGTTGTGTGTTATCTCCTCTGCAGCAAAACCAGACACTGTTTGCTGCAATCAGATCTGGAGCAGATGGCCACAGAGTGTTTTCCTACGTTGAATCCCACATGAACAGCTCACTCTGCAGCATTCAAGGCAGTCACCGACAATGAGACCGAAACAATAAAAGGCTCACTGAACGACCCATTTTGTTTTACTGTCTTCGTTTTTTGGGGTGAGGGGTTTAGTAATGGAAGGTTAGTGTTGGGTTCATCATCTCTGTGGCTAGTTTTTTGTTTATACATTTCTTCAATCTGAGAGAAAGCCACACTTGGCTCCAGTGAACTCTCCGGATTTGTGTGGATATTTAAGATGAAACCATGTATCTGTTCATGTGATGCATTGCAGTGATGACAGTTGTCTTCAAATTCATGACATGTCTTCGTCTGTCCACATATCACATGTCCAACCTTGATGTCGCTTGGAATGGAGATTAACAAAAAACTTTTAGCAAAACATCCTCAAAACGTATTTACCACTAGGCAATTGCTGTTGGTTTTACAACAGATATGAAACTGAAAAATTGACAAGATATATTCCTTACAAAATAAAGAGTTCAAAAAACAACTTGTCCATATTTACTTCACGTTAGGCTAGGGCTAAGTAATAAATACATATCAACATATAACAGGATAGACACATTAATGCATAATGGATCTAAGAGAATATCCACTGAACTCCGATCCAGAACCGCACAACATTCTGGGAGATGTAGGCAGAAGAACTGCTTTAGCTGTTTAACCTCTCATGGCCACCTGAGCAAGGTGAGTGGCATCAACTATCTTGTTCACTCTTTGGTTGCTTAGCAACAACTTCATGAGTAATTTGTGCTGCAGCAGTTTCAGGTTTTGCCACTGTGCCTCAGCAACATAAAGATAAAAAACAATGGTGTGGATTTAAAACTGTAGCTAAAACTTTCAGCATTTTGGGAGTATTTCAGATATTTAAAGCAAAAAAAAAAAAATTCAATAATTAGCTATCAACTAAAATGAAATGGTTATATCGTGATAAGTCTCTCAGCCTAATGCCTTATAGTAGTCACAGTATTGTCGCCAAATTGCTCACAGAAATTTTTTGTTTATTGATTATGAACTTGTCTTCATAATCAATGAAGGTTTTAAGACAAAACCTTTAAGACAATTGTCTTAAAACCTTCTGAAGAAGACTTGCAGAGTAGTTGCTCTGCAGAGGTCCGCGGAGGTCAGGGATCACGATACTGCAGCTACACATGACCGGTGGACTTTATCTCATGGCTTTGAAATCCTGACTTTTTCATATCTCAGTATACCTTGATACCGGTAACCAGCCCATGTTGTAGCTAACAAAAAGGCCAAAGATTGTATACTACAGTTATGATTTAAAACTGCTTTAGAAACAAATTAGTTCCAATTCATCACATTTCCATTGCCTTACATAATCTACATTGCATAATAAGCCAAAAATAGGTCACAATTTGGCTGATGGCCATCCTGCAAAAACATTAGCTCTGAAAGAAATGCTCTCATACTGAAGCAAAAATAATTATACAGAAAGAAATATTGCTTATTTCATAGAGACTTCTACTTTGATTTGTTGTGTCGTGTAAATTTCGCCTCCGTTGCGATAAGCACCCAACACCTACATGTCACACCAGATTGCATTATCTCCTGGCTTCCCAGTTAGCGTGTGGCACTGATATTCATCTTAAGCACAGTAAGAAATGAGATTACAAGCAGATTTTGCTTCCTTGTGGTTGCAGTGTTGAATTTACTCTGAACAGATGGGGGAAAATAGCAAGGAATTTGAAGGTGATAAAAAGAGTTGCCATATCCCTCAGTAGGGTTTTTGTGCTTTGGGTTATTATTACAAGAGTTTCTCCAGTCTGAATCAGAAAATTTTTCTTATGCTTTTGGAAAGACATTGTCAGTTGCTTGATGTGTCTCTCCTGTGATTTTGTTGGAGTGATGGCCTGCGTTTTCCTGGGAGGATGCACAACGTGTGCTGCAACAGGATGAATCCTCTCCCACCCTTTACCAGTCAGTCAGCAAAGTTTTGTTCAGGAGTTCCTGCTGTATTGTGTCTGGCGCTGGGTGGGGTGTTCTCATGTTGAAGTTCATCTACACAGGATCTGACATACATGACTCCACGACTGGTTCACACATCTCTTAGCAATGAGTCACAGTTTCATTAGGATTTGATGAAAAATAACATTTAAAAGGTCAGGCCATAACCAAATCCCACAAAATAAAACAAAGCAAAACTTGAACTATCCCTTTAACGTAGGTTGCTAATTTCTTCATAATTAAGCCGGTGTCAGAAGCTGATGTATAGATTTTGAAAAAACAATTTGTTATATAAACAGCGTACCTTTAACTGCTTATGTGATGACCTCACTACTTTTTGCAAGGTTCCTGCAAAGCCTGAAATGAGTTTCAATCATTTTCCAAGTCTTGATAAGTACAGAAAAACGTTTGAGTTTTCAGATTTAATTTTATTTTCAAAAATCGAAACAACTGCTAAACAACTCTGACAATGTGCTGTTTGCATCAATTTGTATTTCAACAATGTTTTTCTTAGTTTTGTTTTGTACACCACCAGCTGAGGTTGACTTTAAGTATCAGCTGTATGGTTCCTGAGTTGATGCTCAGTACAGCAGCGGTTAGCTCTGTTGCCGTCCAGCAAGAAGGTTGTGGGTTAATTGGTGTTATTGAATTGTCCTTTGGCATAAATGTGCGTGTGTACAATGTTGTTACTCTTGTGCATCTCTGTGTTGCTTGTGATGGACTCGCCACCTGTCCAAACTCTATCCCACCTCTGGTTTAAATACCAGCAAGTTAGTGTTGATGCCTAAAAGCTGTGGAATTATCACAATGTCAAATTAATAGTCAAATTCTGACATAAAAATCTTTGTTTCTGTTTCATTAAGTTAGTTGTGATTTCTGCTTTTATTTCTATTTTATTTTTGTCAAACTGCTGTGTTTAGTATGATTCCTGACTTTGAGCTTTTGATTTGATGACAAAGTTGAAGCCCTTTGTCTCATAATCCTAACATCTCCAATCTTCTGTCCTTCATCATTTGTGATTTTTACACTTATGGGCCATTTGGTGGGTTGGGAGACACAACACTGCACTTTAAATGGCAGTAGCTATATGAGGTGAAAGTTTGCCACCTTCTGGAGGAATCGTGACACTGCTTTCCCACAATGCTTTACTTCTATATCTCTACAGGCCTTTATTTCCTATCTTGTTCTTGTGATTGTGTGGCATAACAACATTTTGTTTGTAGGTGTTTCGGTCATAAGGCATACATTTATTATCTGTATGTTAAAGTAAGTTTTTTTGTCTCTCTGCAGGAATTAAAGTCATGATTCAGAAACAAATTATTTCTAAAAGCTTGTATTCTTTCCTCTTCTGTGTTTCAGGTGCAGTTTTCCTCATTGTTGTTCTCCAGACCTTTCCTGTGTGCTGTGGCTTCATGGAGGGATTTCCTGTGCACTGACCTAGCAGGCTGCCCACTGGACCAGCTGCCATGTCAGCTTGCAGCACCTTCACCGAGCATGTGTGGAAGCCAGGCGAGTGCAAGAACTGCTTCAAACCAAAAAGTCTGCACTGCTTGACTCAGAGCAGTGGGGGGAAACCCCCCTCTGAGCAGAGACCGCCATCAAACCAACAACAAAATCCACTTCCTGCTGGGACCAGAGCTAACCCCAACCTTACCGCCAACTCTCAGCGGGCAGGAGGCGGACCTGCACGTTCAGGACACATCCGCCCTCCTGTGGCCAAGAAGCCAACCATTGCTGTGAAGCCCACTATGATGCTGCCCAGCTTATCTGCAGGACTGGATTCAGATGGCAACTTGCCGCAGCAAACAAATGTAATAGATCAAGGTAAAATATTGGCTTTTACTGCCTGGAACCGCAATGGACTGAACAGTAAAAGGCCTGGTGGGCCTAACAATAACAATGAAGGAGAGGATGACGGTGAGGAAATTGAAGGTTATGGACAACTCAGTCCAAGGACACCCAGCGGAAATAATAACAGCGGACTGACGGATGTCCTTAAAGAGATCGCTGGGTTGGGTCCAGGTTCTAGCCCCACACTCCTTTCTGGCTCCAAAGACCTATTTTGGGGGCGAATCAGTAGCTCATATCGTAGGTCCCTAGAGAGAGGCCTTCCAGCCGCCAGCTGTCTGGCTATAGGAAGCGGCAGCAGCGAAGGTGGCGCTCAGAAGCGGGTATCGCTTAGTGATTGCACCAAGATCATAAGCTCAGAGGGTGGACGCTTCTGCTACCCAGAGTTTTCCTGTGACGATGAAGATGATGATGAGGAGGATGAAGAGGAAGACGAGGAGGGTGAAACTGAGAAGGATGATGAGGAGCATGAGAGCTGGGATGAAAGCGACGAAGAATTACTAGCCATGGAAATCCGTATGCGAGGCCAGCCGAGATTTGCTAATTTTCGTGCCGCCACCTTGTCTCCAGTGCCCTTTGCAGTGGGGAAAAAATGGAATACGGTGCCCCTTCGAAACCGCTCATTACAGAGGATCTGTGCAGTGGACTATGATGATAGCTACGATGAGATCTTGAACGGATACCCCTCTAATGGAAGCCTTCTTCCCTACGGACCTCGTGAGACGCAAAGCAGTGCTTTCCTCTCAAATTCAGAGTCTACAACCTCTCCAGAATCATCGTCATCACTACAAGAAGACTCTCAAACGATTTCCAGTAGTGGAAGCAGTGTGTTTAAAAATGGCTTGCTTTCGCCTATATCTTCCAAGGCACTTGCACCGTGTACAACCCCCCCAACAAAAGAGGCTCCCAAAAGGGCTCTAAGTCCACCCAAGGTGGCTGAGACCCACAAAGCAGTGCTGGCAATTAGATTAGAGGACCAGGATGGCAGGGAAGGAATGCCAATGCCTCAAGCACTTCCTGGACAGCCAGTTACGATAAGTTTTAGCCCTACAGAGGAGCAGGCTAAACCATACCGTGTAGTTAATTTAGAAAAATCCCTCATTTGTAAACCTTACACTGTGGTAGATGTCTCAGCATCGATGACCAGTAAAGATGAACAGAAACAGGATTCGTCGCCACGACCCAAAAACCTGCCAAAATCCTCTAGTCCCACATCATTTTGTAGCACTCCTTTAGTCCAGCCCCTCTCGCCAGTATCTCCTCTTTCCCCATCTTCTCCTTTGAGGTCAGTATCACCTTCATCCATCGCTCTGTCACAAAAGAAAACTGGCCAAATACGATACCAAGAAGTATGGACGTCAAGCACAAGTCCTCGGCAGAAGATACCTAGAGTGGATCCGGGGAGTAATTCTGGCCAGTCTGTCACTCCTCAGTTTTCCAGTCACAAGTCGGCTCCCACGTCTCCCATCGCAGGCCTGTTGTCCTCTCGAACTGTACCCGTAAAATCTCCAAATTTATCAGAGATCAAGTTTAACAGCTTCAATAACGCTGGCATGCCTCCTTTTCCTATCATCATCCGAGATGAGCCAGCCTATGCCCGTAGCTCTAAGAATGCAGTCAAGGTACCAATCGTTATCAACCCTAGTGCGTATGACAATCTTGCGGTGTACAAGAGTTTCTTGGGTCTTCATGGGGAGCAGTCACAAACAAAAACGGGTGGTGGTAGGGTTACTAGCCATACCTATGAAGAGATAGGTTCCTCCGAGAGTGTTCAGTCCTCGTCCACAGAGAAAACTCTGTCTGGGAGAGGCACAACAGAGCAGACTTCATTTGAGGAGACAAAATTTACACTTGAATCAGTGCCAAGTTTGCAAGTTAGAACCACTACAGATTCAAGCACTGTAACGAGCACTGTAATGAGCTCCGCATCTGGGGCCCTTTCTCCCACTACAACAATTTCTTCTGCTAGTCTTGCCATTACTGCAAATCTAGTTAAAACCAGCCCTGCTGCTAACGCTGTTACACACTCTTATAGGATAAGTGGAGATGATGATGATAAAGGCGTAACTTCTCCTTCTGGGACAGGTGTAAGTCACAGAGAGGAGGCCAGCGCAGTTCTGTCACAGATTGTAGCGTCTATCCAGCCTCCTCAGTCGCCTCCAGAGTCTCCCTCGGCACAAACCAAAACCTTCAGCTCTGAGGAGTTGTACGCCCTCCCTCCTGACGCCATGAAGGAGACCCTTTCACGACCCAAGTCTCTGTTTTCCACCACTGACGGCTGTCTTTCCAAGCCAAAAAAGGAAAACCCCTCAAAGGTTTTGTCAAAATCCCAGAGTGCCTCTGCTGCTGTCCCACTCGCCAGTCCCCGATCTGAGCCCAGTGCCCCCTACCCGCCCCCGAGGTCCACATCCTCCCCTTATCATGCTTCTAACATACTTCAGAGACATTTTGGCAACTGGACAAAGAGCTCTGCCTCCAGCTCCTCAGCGCGACCCGGTGAAGGTGAATCGAGCCCCGGCGGGGAGGGGAGGCGGGCTTCAGCCGAGAGTTCAAAACCCAAAAGGTGGATCTCCTTCAAGAGCTTTTTCCGGCGGCGGAAAGACGAGGATGATCAGAGAGACAAGGCGGAGAAAGAGAAAGAGAAAGGCAAACTGGTCGGACTGGATGGAACTGTGATTCACGTTCTTCCACCGCCACCTGCCCAAAACCAGCACTGGTTCTCAGAGGCCAAAACGGAAGATCCCACCCAGAAACCTACCATCATCTTCACATACAAACCAGACACTGGCAGCAGCCCCGGGGATGGAGATGGAGAGCTGCGCATAGAAGAGTGCAGAGAGACTGATCTTCTGGCAGAAGAGAGCAGGGACTCTGAACCTCTGAGCCCAGGGCAAACGGCACCGTCAGAAACCGCTGGAGGAGACGCCAGCAGCAAAGACCTCAGGTAATAACTGCTGTTTTATCTCTTAATCCCTCATCAAAGCATCGCTACAGTATAGATTCTGTTACTAGCTGTAAACTCTCCTACTGAATTTGGTCCCTCATATTGTTTATTTGATTTGAAAGTTTCTTGCTTTGTGACTGTTCTTAATTTACTTTTTATATTCATCACCTGAAAATAGTTTTTTTGACTGCTGCTCCAAACATAGCACGTCTTATGTCCTGCTTTTTAAATATTTACTATCAGAAAGAACGACCAACACACATCTACAGTACCTTGAAAAAATTTCACAGCATTTCAACATTTTCACATTTTGTCAAGTTACAACTACAAACTTTTACATAATTGTAAAGTCTGTATTCAGCCTTCTCTGAGTCAATGATTTGTAGATGCGGCTTTTTCCTGCAATTACAGCTGCAAGTCAGTTATTCGCCCCTTTATGCACACATTCAAACACTGATGATTGCTTTAAAGTTTAACTTTTCTAGAATTGGAATTAATATTTGATGATATATCTGATGTGATCAAGCACCATGGCTGTGTTGCGTGTAATCTGACAAATCTTGACATATCGTTCAAGAAAACTTTCATTTCCTCATCTAATTAACTTGCAGTTCATATTTTCATATGTCAAAATTATCTTCAGTCCTTCTTCAGAACTTGCTCATTTGACCTGATCTCTCCTTTTTAAATCCAGCCTGAACTTTGCCCTGTTTTTCTCTCTCTTTTTTTACGTTTGCCTCCCTGACATGTTGCAAACTGTCAGGGTTGTGTTCAAGCTGCTCTGCATCCTTTTCTTTGTTTTGTCTAATTTTGCTGTCCTAGTACTCACTTTGCTTTGAGCCCAAGGCCAGGAAATATTTCACTCCTCAATCCTGTCAAAAGCTCGGCCTCATTCTGTCGGGTTTCAGACTTTTCTGTTTTTTCCTCTTCAACTAGCTGCAGCTGTTGTCGTCTTTTCTTTTCTATGGGATTTTCAGTATATTAATTTCTTCATAACCAGTCACAACTTTGCCAAAGAAAAAGCCATAAATCTACCTCACAGGTAGGTAGCTCATGACTTCTTTTTTTATGTCGTAATGAAGATACAAAGATCAAATTCGTCTTCGTTATGCTATTTATATCATATCATCTGACTGTTGCTGAAGTCGGGTATGCTGTAAAATCCAAAAATATCTGGTGACTCCATTTAAAATGTATATAACAGCTTGTTTTAATAGTTCAAACACCAAATATACCTTCGTATGCATTAATTCGCACAGGGGAAACAGTCTTGACACTGCCACAGAAGTTAACATCCACGTTGTTTGTTATTCGTCCTCTTGGGCGTTCAGCCAATCACGCTACATTTCCAAAGCAGCGCGAATTGCCTGCTTTGCAAACGCCAGTCAATAGTGTGTGAAATAATATTGTGCATCGGTATTTCAGCTTCCTACACTGCATTATCTTTCAAATAGTTTACTCATCCTCTACAAAAAAAGATGCATTTTCAACAAATAATCTGGAGTTACATTCCACAGAAAAATCCACGAGTAGGTGATTTAAATAGGCGAGGTCCACTGATAGCACTTTCATATACTGTCTTCTAGTCTGATATTTCATTAAAATGAATGACAGTAATGCCATGTATGCATGAAAACATTGAGGTGAGGTAAAGTAACACACTAAATATCATCAGTATTACTCTTTACTCACTCACCAATGATGTCCTGGATGAGGCAGTCTACACTTCTTGACTATGCCAGAGCTAACGAAGACTAGCCTCCAAAAGCTAAAGCTATCTCAGCCAAACCGTTTTATTCTTCAGTCATTTAGTGACCTCTCGGGTAGATTTATTGCTTTTAGTAAATCATTACATAGTCAGAGAAAACCCAGATTTGTTACTTTACTTTTGCCAAGCAGTGTGCATGAAAATAACCTGTGGTTGGTGTGAGGTTCTTCAAATACTCGGACATCGATTGTAGAAGAAAAGCCTAAATCAACAGAGACATTTTGAGTTTAGTATCACTTAATCAGTATTGAATTAGGGTTGTTACTAAACCGCTGTCCTTGACCTTCCCTCAAGGAATGTTAAGTATTCATGAACAATCACATTCATGTTTTGTCCTATCCTTAGTTTCTGTAATTCAGTACTTGACTGATAAAGTCCTAGTTTTGTGATTTTATATTGTTGCATCCCTTTTTAAATTATCACTCTAATAGTTACATTTTACTTCCCAACACGAAACTGAACTTCTCTATCAGAGAAGAAAGTGGCTCATTTTGTGGCTTTCTAAAAGTAAAAACAGACCGGTCACATTGTTTTGGTTGGGAAACAAAGAGTTAACTCAGGAGATTTTTTTTTTTTCCCTTCTAATCACGTTTTATTGGCGAACGGTGGGCGTGCTCTTCAGGGCTGGCCAACACACTTTACCTTAGACAGGTAAGAGCATTCAAAGACGGAGAGACTAAGAAGAAGACGAGAAAAGAAGACTTGTAGGAAAAGTGTCTTCTTCCTTCGTGTTTGACATAGAATGTGATTTCTCCTGCCTTGTCATTCCGAGTTTTCCTATGGGAAGCTGTGTGAGCCAGTACAGTGGGTAAGAACTTGTCATCCTTATCTTTTTACACACCTTTGAAGGCAACTTGGCCATGTGTGGCAGTGTTGACATAGCTGGGAAGAAGGAAAGTTTCCTTTGTCTTATTTTATTTTTACATTTGTGGACATTGGCACCAGAGTTCTGAGAAGGAGAGAAGCGCTCCGAGGCTGCTTCGTGCTGTCTAGACAAGTCAGGTCCTGACATTGAAGTGTGTAGCAGCCATGAAGGTATTCATTGTGTCAAGGGCCTGTGGAGATGTGTATCCACTCTGAATGTTTTGTGTCGAACAGAATGAACGTATGGAAACCTCACCTATCAGGCGGGTTTATGGCTTTTTGTAAATCATTAATATTTCAGCTCAGTGCAGAACCCGGTTTTGTTGTTTGCTTCCAAAAGAAAAAGGAAGAATCTAAGGGGAAATTGAACATATTTATTGACAGCAGCACAACAAATGCCAGTAATTTACAGCTTTATTTTGCTTTATTTTGTTTCTTCAACAATCTCACTCACCGTTTCGTGATCACTCCCCTTTTCAACGGTAGGATCCTGCAAAGAGCCAAAGTGTCGCTTTGCGTTGATCGGCTGTCTTTCAGAGACTCTGGTCGTTTCATGGCCTGCAGGAACACATCTGAAACATGCCAGATGAGAGGTGTTTTTGTCAGACTCAGTGTCTGCTGAGGATAAAGGCAGAATAGGGCAGTCAGAAGCTGAACTGTTGCAACAGGTTTTTCTTTTCTTTTCTGACATGCATGTGTCAAAATGAGAGGCTTTTAATGGTAAATCTAGAAAAACTAAGACAGTTTTACTGGCTGACTGGAAGTGCTATGTGTTAATGTAGATAAAGCTGAACGGAGCTGGGTTTGTGTCTTGATGTGAGTACTTTTGGGAACTTTTACCTGTCTTCATTCCATGAGTCGCATTAGTGTCATTCTGCATCAAATGTACTACGGTACCTCTGATGAAAAATGATACAGGAAGTGACACATGGTTTAGGATGTAATTATTAATGTGCCCTTCCCATAAGCCAGTGGGTTGGGGGGGATGAACTTTTTGGAAGATTTTTACACTTCCGACCATGTTTTTGTCTTTACTTTCAAAAAACTCAAGTCGGATTCAGGAAAGCTAGAATGATATAAAGTAGAAATGGTTACAGAATAGTTACCGTATCTGTTACTGTACTTATGATGTGACGACACCATGGCTGGGAAGACGACACACTTGTTCTGTTTTTAAGTTCCTGCTGGCTAAAAATGGTCGAACATAGCTCCTGTTTAGAAAACAGAGCAGTTTTCCACATCAATACGTTAAAGAAGAAGTCTTGAACATATCAATTAGACCAAATACTTGGGCTTCTAAATGGCAGCTATTTAAGGAAAATAAATGTAAGCTATTGGCAGCCAAGAGCTTTGCCTTTCAGTAGCATTGCAGGGAGGTGTTTTAGCTTCTCAAGCTGCATTTTCTTTCAAATGTTTTAGATATACTCTATGAAAAAAATGCTTGACTAGCTGGAGAAATCTGCCAACAGATGAATTAGCAAATACTGAATCCTAGTTAAGAATTATAAGCAGCCTTAGGGAAGTCACTGAGTGGCTGGAAGTGTCCCGTCAGCCTGAAACATGACCCACATCTCCACTAACTACGTCAGATCAGCTTTCATTAATTGATCAATCTTCTGTTCCACTTCGTTTACATCTGCTTCCTGCTGTTGTAGAAGTTTCAAAAAGTTTTCCACTTCTTCCCAAACATTTCTGATCAAAGTTAAGTACCTGTTCTTGCTTTTCCTACACGGCATCACCACACTCCACAGTGACCTACTTTCCCTCATCAATGCATCTTGTTCCTGCCTTCATGTGTGTCATTGCCTAGAAAACCACTTCACATTTCAGAAGCTTTCATCACTCCAGTCCACAGCGTGCTGAGGTAGATGTAGAGAGGTGAAACACTGATTTAAGAGTTAAAAAAAAAAAAAAACTAACTAGGGTAACTTGTTGAATAACGAGAGAAAGGAGCTTGATTATAATTCAACAGCAGCTGTCTTTGCTCTTTTGTTTTGTTTTTCTAAATAGCAGCATTTATTATTATTTGAGGACAGAATCCTTGTCAAAAGTAAACTAACTATTAAAGAAAACAACAACAAAAATTAGATCAGAGGCATGCAATTTCGGGTTCAATGAAGCTGAAGTTTGGCACGTTGCTACATCAATAGCAGTCCCTCCCTCTCTGTCATGTGCAGCCAGGTGCCGGCCAGCCATGCCAGGGAGCGGGAGCTGCCGAGGGTCATCCCTCTGCCTGCCAGAGTGAATCTGGGGCTGGTGTTCGGGGACGCCCACGAGGGCCACGCCAACCAGGCCGCCCCGACTGTCACCGCCAGCGAGGGCAGCGCCAGCCTCGGAGAGCCGGAGGACGATGGGAATCACTCTCATCACTCCCACTCTCCTTCGCCCAGCTGGTGCAGCGCCACCTACAGCAACCTAGGTAAGAATGGCTCATAAGGGGGGGATTTAACCAACAAAAATACTGTCTTATCCTCTGTGGCTCATCTTTAGCATTTCTTAATAAGTATAAAATTTATATAAGTAAAATTAAAGCCTTAAATTGTCTTCAATTCAGTTTAATATGTAAGTTGGACTTTAGTATAATAATCACAGGTCTTAAATTTTGTCATGGCAAAACTATTTATTTTATTTAATGTAATAGCCTGTGTTTTTGTTTTTCACTGGACTTTTCTGTCAGGCAGAAGTTTGAGTCGCACTCAGACATCTTGACATCTCGAGACGGTTGAGGCTCCCGAGCTACTCGTTGCTAACATCCACGTTGTAGCTAGCTAGTTGGCTTTTTGCATCTATCATGGATGAGTGCAAATTTATCTCCAGTTGGCTGGATAAAATTTATACATTTCCGAGGAGACTGGTCTAAAATCCCGTTTGTAATCGTCTTAATAAGTCTAAAATTTGAGTTGATGAAACCTGCAGAAACCCTGTAGGTGACGATATCAGTTTTTGTGTCTTTAATTTTACTTTTCTCCAGCTTCAGCACTATTCTTCTTGGAAGTTATTCCTTCCTAAATCACCTGGGAGCTCCAGTTCATGAACATCTGGTTCTTGCATAATCAGAGTGATAATTGAAACCTTCAGCTATATTTTACAGTAATGAGCACGTAAAAAAAAGATTCAGTTTTGACCATTATCACCTTTGTAAATATGATTTGCAGCACATTATCTGTACCCATGCTCAGTCACGCTCCACCTGGCTCGGACCATGCATAATGTACTGTACGACTGACCGCAGGGTTGCTGCTTGCATTATTGCTGTGCTCAGGTTTAATCTGACAGTAATTACAGTGACGTCTTTGTGCTGTGATCCTAATCCTCTGGTCGGATACGGATATTAAAGCCCAGGGTTATAAAAACGGATGTGATGAAAAGCCATCAGGTGGCCTGCTTGCAAGGGAAAGAGTAAAAAAAAAGAGAGAGGATAAAAAAAGCTGAGAGGCTCATTAATGCAGGATATTGACCTGCTTTATATTCATCCCAACTGGTGCTGAAGTTGAAGCTGCAGCTTCTCATAACGATCCGGTGTTAGAAGCAACACTTGTTCCTGCTGCTGCTGAAACAACAACAAGCTGATTACCACATCTATGATAGTGTCAGCTGACATTTATTTATTTTTATTTTACTGCTGTTGCCTGGACACAGAATAAACATCTTTTTTTAAGTAGCAATCTGATAAGTGCTGGTTGATTATTGGATTTTTCAGATCAAATAGTCAGTCAGCATTCATTCAGTATATTTCCAACTTTAGCAGAACCTTAACATGAGTCATATGTAATTTCAGTTTCCTCTTAATTTAGTTTTTTTTTTTCCATAAGTGGAAATTATTTTTCCAGATCAGTTGGAATTGTCTGTTTTGTAGAAAAGTGTGGAGGCCTTCTTTCAGCCAGCTGACCATCAGTGCACAGACACATGGATTCGGTTTTAGCAGAGGAGCAGAACAGACTGGAATGCCCAGATTTCAATGTCGAAAGATCATCAGCGATAAATAAGAGTCAGGTTGTTATAATAATGTCACGGTCTGTTTATTGATCTTACATTTTTTCCTGACTTTGTCGTCTGTCACCAGGCACACAGACCTATGAGCTCAGCTCTCACAGCTGGTCCTCAGTGCTTGTCTCTCCAGCAAAGCCTCCATTTTCACCATCATCCTTCTTTCCTCGCCAGAGGGAAGAAGGATGAGAAAAACTGCAGTCTAAACTAAAACGTTAGTCTTAGTACAGACGGTATGCAATGCCCCTGTGCTGACAAATCGCATCAATATTTCAGGGATTAGCAGAATACAGCATTTCTGCATTTAGATAAAAATTCAGACTGTGAGTTTATTTAGAGAGTTGATTGGTGCAGTTGATAGAAATGTGCAGAAACGCACATCATGCGTTTAAATTGAAATCAGAACCAGAAAGAGATGGAAGAAAATTGAAAACTGATTATGTAATCATTGTAAAGTATCCAAAATGGCCGGTAATCATCTCCATGGTGATGATAAAAGGTCTATTATTATCTGTAAGCCCTGTAACAATTACATAGATTAGATAATGCTTAAGGGAAGCAAAGCTGCGAAGGAGTTCCTGTTAACTTCTGTTTAAAAATGACAGATAAAAGGAGAATATGGCCACAGGAAGTTTGTCAAACACAGAATTCAAGTGACAGGAAATGACGCATGATGGCTCAGGCTCCAATTGATATGCAGCTGTTTATCATGCTATACTGTCAGGCTTAATTATGACATATGATCCTGGATCAGTTTGAATTTATAAAACTGAAGATGTCAGAGGAAATGGGTGTTTCTACAAGGATTCCCTCGTCACAGGTGTCAGAAAGTGGGTCAGCTCCATTCAGCTCTCATTTAAAGCAATTTCTCAAAACAATTGTTATAAAATTAAATATTAAGGATTCACAGGAAAGTGAACTCTTCCAGCATAAGTCTAGAAATAATTGTCAACTAATTTAGCAATCGATTAATCGTTGACTGAAGTCTCAAAAAATGCCACTTGCTGAAAAAACAACACAATTGAGCCAAAACTTCATTAAACTACATACATGTTACCTTATATATTTAAAAAAAAAAGTTTATAAATATGTTTTACACAGAACTCCTCCAGTGGCAAAGTTTTAGCTTCATCCAGTTTGAATTTTGTAAAGAAAAAAAAAACATCTATCCAATTATTAATTGATTAGTCCAAAAATTTCTAAAAGATTAGCCCTACGCTGTATTGATGTTAAATCAAGCAGAAAGGCTGAGCTTTTCACATTATTAGAAGTGTTTTTTTAGCTGCAAAATGCACACTTTGCTACAAATGATCAGGCGTTCACTAAGGGAATAAATACTGTTTTATTGCATTTTAGACAATAAAATCCTTTTTTTTATTAAAGAAAGGAATTTAATTACTTGTTTATTTGCATCATTTTTTTAAATACTGTATAAAAAGGCTCAAGTGATTAAATAAAAAAAATCTGCAGAATGTGCCACTTTTATTATCCGATTCATCGTCAGAACCCTGGATGGCTAAAACAATCGCTAAGCTTTGGGTTTTATTTATCTATTTAGGCAGAATGTGATGTGAGCACAGCTGTTAATGTGTAAAAGAGACGGCAGCACTAGAGTCTGTCGAAGCACAAAGAGCAGATCATTGCTTCAGTGAAGCTGGCAGGTGCTGCTGGCCTCCTGAAACATGAAGCTCTGGTGTGAGAGGGAAAGCATCGGGCCGCGATCAGGCGGTGCGAAACAAAACGAGGAATAGAAACAATGTGACAGACAGAAAGGAGAGTGTGGGTATTGTGGAGCAGAAACATTAGTGAGGCGCTTCTCATTGCACATGCCGGCGCGTGGGTCTCTCTCTTTCTGTTAAATGACTCATCAGGGACTAAATATGTTTGGTGTTCTGCGCTACTTGCTAATTAGACTTTAAACGCGTGTGAGCAGCGTTTGTGTTTGTGAAGCTCGGAGTGCGCGCACTTGTTGTGGTGGTTCGATGTGTTGGGATTGTGTTAAAAGCTCCCTGGATGTCATCTGATGAGCTGCTGCCTGCAGCTTATTTTTACTTTGCTACACGCTGCTAATGAGAGATGCGGCAGGAGAGTGAGAGACTCTTGGTCTAACGAGAAACTTTCCAGAGCGCATCATCTCTGCTTGGCGGCGGGGAGGGCGCACGCATGCGAGCGTCTCCCTCACTCTGCACCAAGTTGAGGTTTAATCAGAGCATCAGGCAGGAGGAGGCAGAGCGCTCGCCGCCTCACTCGGCGCTGGTGGGAGTTGCCCTTTCCACCATCGACTCCGCACAGACTCTGGAGATGGGAGCAGAGAAGAGTGTTTCCCTCCACCTCCCCGCTCAGCTGCTGCGCGGCGTTAGCTGAAAACTGTTAGTGGAACTGAGGTAGGCTTGTTTTACTTGCTCTCGTCTCCTGGTGTTCATCTCTGTTTCTTCTGTCATCTGTCAGTCTTACCACCAGGAACCTCCCACCTCAGCTTTGTTGTTTCAAATCTGCCGAAGCTTAAATCACTTTGTTACGTCGATAGCTTTCCCCAATTAGTTGGAACAAAATTAGAAGTATGGAATGTATCAGAGTTTTATATCTTGAAAATCTGAATCTGTAGAGATGAAAGCGAGCAACACAAAACATTGAAACCGATTTTTTATTTTTTTTGGAAATTTCTTTGAAAATTTTTGATGATAGTCTGATAAAAACTGTTTTTATTAAAATGCATGCATTTTATTGAAAAAATACATAACCCTTTTTTCTTTTTTATATCACTTTTATATTACTATTTTAGGTCCGTTGGGATTGCCAAATTTCTATTTGCTAAATGCCAGGATAATAAGAGATCATTTCTTTTTATTTCATTAAAGAAGTCTACACACATTTCTCCAATGTTTTATAGAAACGTTTGAGTCAGACATGTTCAGTCCAAAACACATTTTGTTGCTTTGTTTCTTAAGCCACTTTGCAACAAATGTAACAAGAGCCATTTACATTCAAGATTTAGCTTCCTGGCTAACGTCCTCACATGTTGCTTCAGTATTTGCCCTTCATGTTTTTCTTCATGATGCCGTCTTTCTGTGAAGTCCAGCAGTCCGTTTCTGCAGAACAACTCCCACAAGACATGATGTTGCAAATCATCCCACAGATTAGATTCTGCTCTAAAGCTTGTAAATATCCCCCATTTTCCTCCAAACAATGATTTTGGCCAAAAACTTACATTTTAGTTTCATCAGACGTCAGTACATGTCTCTTAAGATTAATGTTTTTGTCCCTGAAGACACTCGCAGTAACGCATGTTTTATTGCTTCTTCCTTGCTGAGCAGCCTTTCAGCCATTGTTAGTGTGTCGCTGTGTCATCTGTCAGTGACACAGTGACACCTCTGTCAGTGGCTCTGCTAACACCTTTAGGCTAGCATCTTCACAAAGTCTTTTGTTTTATTCCCCCGATTAGTACTATGGGACACAAAACCCATCTTCTTCCTGAAGATTACGATGGCTGGAGTTTTCTGTGCTTTTATAATTGCATGTACTTAAATTAAAACAGATAAACCTGGCACTCCAGACTTCTAGAAACTGTACCCAAGGACAAACTGGAGATGTGGAGGTCCACAATTATTTAACTTACCCAATATCTTTAGATTTTTACCATGATGACACAAAAAGGAGCAGAAAGTTTGAGGCGTTGGCTTAAAAATACATCCACAGGTGTGCCACATTCCTCCGTCTAACTCAGCATGTCCCTGCTGCGGGCTTTCCCAAATTTGTTAAAGGCATTGTAACCTTAATACTTGCAAACCTCGGAAACTCCTAAAAACTTCCTCATCTCATTATTCTCGCTATTTACTTTTTTCACAACATGTAAATGCCTAGTTTAGATGTAGTAAATAAAAAAATTAAGTTATACCATTAAATTAATTTGGTTTAATCATAGCAACACATTAAGTTATGTAATTCAGTTGAGTCACAACAGAAGATCCCTGCGACTGGACAAGGGAGACGTCTGCTTCCTTGAACGGATTACCGCAGATTGCTGATGGAACACATTAAATCTATTCCTTCTAGGGAGGATTATGGAGACTCATTTACTTCATCCCGACTGCTCTGTCCAAACACTTTGACTACATCCCTAAGGCGACGGCAGCGTGACTTCCACGTGAGGAGTTGCTCATCCTGAGTTTGTAATCAGTAGCATCTTATACAGTGGGGGGGAATGATTTGCTAAATCGGATGCCCGGACCACTCTGATGGGATCAGTAAATCTCCAGAGCAGCAGTTGACTGGAAAGGTCATTTTCTGTCTCTGTCCAGTCTTGCATTATTATCCTCTAGGAAAACAGGGAGTTCCCTGTGGAGTTAAATCAGTGCCAGTGTTGGTCTGTGACCTTATGAACCCTGTCCTTTTTTTAAATACTTGTCATGCAAAGGGCACAACCTTTAGTGTTACTTTTATTTTAAAGTCCTCAGGTAAGGATTTTCACATATTAATGGGTTGCAAAAAAAATAAAACTGTTTGACTCGTAGAAGTGTATCAAAAAGGCCCTTTATAGTCGTTGCTGATTCCCCACGAGTTACTAAACCCCCAGATTTATGATGAACCAAAAGGTAACCTTTGACACCTGAGGAGCTCGACCTTTCAGACATTTAAAAACTCATCTTTCTCTTCCTGCAGGTCAATCAAGAGCCAACATGATCCCACTGAAACAGCCACGGAACCTCAAGGCCTCCAACGACACGTTGTCCTCCATGGAGCTTGACGGCTCTGCGGAGCAGCCAGCATCTAAAGCCACACCGCCGCCTCTGCCCAAGAAGGTTGTCCCTCGCTCCAGCACTGAACCCAGCCTCGGGGTCAAAGAGCCCAGCCAGGGAGCCCTCCGACCCCGGGCAGAGGCTAAACCGGGCGGCACCAACCTGAGCGTGGCCAACCCTCTGTATGACCTGGAATCTACCTGGGAGACGGCTAGCCAGAGCTCCTCTCTGAGCTCCGAGCCACACCGAGCTCACGACCAGGAGAGTGGTGACTCTTTGGAGAGATCATCCGCCTCCGCAGCCGCAAGCAAGGGTCGCCTGACTAACAGCGTGTCCGCTCTCAGCTCCCCGCCTACCGCTTCCACACCAGTCGCTACCTCTGGCAGGGACAAGAGGGTCTTCCCAAGCACAGAGTCTCTGGGCGGACGGGGTCGGACCGCAGGCCGTGGAGCCCCTGGCGGAGGGACCTCCAAACCACACAGACCCGCTCTTTACAGGGGGCTGGACAGCTGGGATGAGGTGGTGGGCAGGATCCGGGGACTTCACATGGACACCCTACGGAAGTTGGCGTCGAAATGCGAGGACCGCTTCATGGCCGGCCAGAAGGACCACCTTCGATTTGGCACTGACAGCTGGTCACACTTCAGGTTGACCACCGGCAAACCGTGCTGTGAGGCAGGGGACGCTGTCTACTACACCGCCTCTTACGCCAAGGACCCACTGGTCAACTACGCCATCAAGGTGAGCGTCAGGTAGTTTTGCTGATCACCTTATCCTTATACCAGGTTTATTATTAACCTGGTATAATAAACCTTATACCAGGTATATTATTAACCTTATACCAGGTTTATTATTAACCTTATACCAGGTTTATTATTAACCTGGTATAAGGTTAAGGTGGTTTGAATAGTTTAGTAAAAAAAAGGTTTGACCCTTGGCACTCTTTGATAAACTCATGAATGAATGGTAGAGGTACAGCTCCTTGAAGGCATACGTCTTGAACTTTTTCACATTTGTCATATTATTGCAATGATAAATGGCTAAATACCTCAGTGCCACTGTCCTGTTCGAGTCCCATTCTCAGTTCCTTTGCTGCATCCTCTTCTCTTTGTCTCCCCCTCTTATCTCTGCCCCCTTTCTGTTGTACTCTGTAATATAAAGCTTCCACATTTAAATCTTGCCCACTATGTCAACTAATTTCATAGTGATCTTTAGTATTTAAAGTATTTAGTATTTAATAAATGTGAGGGACAGAACTGTGAAGAATCTGGAACGTTATGACCTGAGCAATGGACAATCCAGGTAAAAACCTGTTAGAGGCTTCAAATGATGCACAACTGAGGTTTTGATTCAGTGTCCAGTCAGATAAAACCCTAAATACACAGCCTTCAACTATAGTTTGGGTCATACCTCCTCAGCCTTGTAACAGAATCTGGCTAATGACCTAAATATTTGATTCAGACATCTAAAAGCTGCCAGACACCAACCAGCCCCAAGGACAGGAATTTGAGACCCTTGATTTAGATCAAAGCAGATTCATGGGTTAGAATGGCCCATTCAAAGTCCAGAAACCAACTGTGAATATGTGACAAAACTTAAAAAAGTTTTGTTGATCCTCATTTGGGGCTGCCTATGAAGTAAGAATATCCAAAACTCCTTAAAGACCGGCAGCTGCAAATCTCTCAAAAGAGGATTCAAGACGACTGGTTTTAAAATTCATATTTTTCTTTGTCACGATTATGTTCTGCTTTGTGCTGGTCTGCCACAGAAAATGCCAGCAGAATACATCATAGTTAACAGGACAAAGTTTGAAAAAGTTCAAGGGTGTGAATGTTTTTGAACGCCTCTATAAATGAGCTTCATGATGTTGGTTTAATTATACCTAATAAATAAAAGTGATCCTGAAAAACACACCGTAATACTCCAGTTAATAACATAATCCCTAAATGCTCCATGTAACGTCTGATTCTCCTGCTAAACGGTGATTAGAAGGAGTGTTTGCTTTGACACCAGCAGGGAATTTGAAGAGAATCCTGTGTCCGGTGGTGGCTGCCTTGAGACGTCCTCGTGTTTCATTTGTTTGATGTCAACTCCTCCCACTTCCTCCACAGAAGCACAGGAAGGTGTTTACCTAACAGTGCTGCCACTTAAACTTTGAGCCCTGAGGAAACGTTCTTGTGCAATAAAACCTGTGCGTTCACGTGTGTGCGTGTGTGTGTACAGACTAAAAGGTTGCGGCGGCTGGTAGAGTTTAAAGAGTTAAAGTAGACGCTGCACTATTCATAAAATACTTCCTGAGTTTGACCGGACTTCAAAGTTTTGCCTTTCCAGGCCTGAATTCACTCTTGTGTTGTATAAAACAAGGCTGGCAGAAGCAGCAGAGCACAAACAAGCACCAACATGCCAGTTTCCCTTCGCTAAAGCTTGAAACCTTTACACATTTCTGGTTAAAACCGATTCAGACACACTCAGAGTTAGAAAGTTATGCTGGCTGGTGTGTGAATAAAATCTCCATGGACTTGTTGGCAGCTTGACGTATAAGACTTAAGATTTGTCATGATGAATCGCTTATTTAAATAATTGAAAACTAATTTAGAAAGCAATTAATTAACTGGATTATGCAGACTCAAAAAAATACCATTTGGTGAAAGAATAACACACTCAGAACAGCAATTAAGCCAAAACTATATAAAAAGTAGTCACATTTTTCATTTAAGAGAAAAATAAACTTTATCTTGTGATTCAGTGGTTCAATAAAAAAATTTTTTTTTTATCTGATTAAGCAATTAACTGATTTCTAAAATGATCATTAGCTGTATCTCTAATATATATATAAGTATATATATATATATATATTTCTCTACCATTTTGACACTGTGAAAAAACAACCACACTGCTTCATTTAAGAAATATATTCTCAAATGGGAACAAGGAGGAAAAAACATAACTACTTATATCAACCCAGTTTTACTTATCAAACCGTGACTGACATGTTAAAACGTTGTGCTTCCCTAAAAACAATCAAATGAACAAGTTAAGGGAAATAAAGTTACTCTGTGCTTTATTACAGCTAATTTTTTCCAGTAGCTAAGGTTTTCTTCTTGCAGAATTAAAAAGCCATTTGCTGCTGCTCAGAGGCATCCCTCTGCTTCTGGTAATCTCACAGACCATTACGCTTTTGGCTCTGGGAGACTTTTTTTGTTATTGTTGTTGTTTGGCTGACCATTCCTGAGCACCAGAACCCTCATTAGTTCTCCTAACTTTGGGTAAGTGCTCTTCACACAGTTTTAAAGTTGGTTATGTGATTTTCCACAGTTGCTCGTCTTGCTCTTTTTTTTTCCTCGTCTCTGTCATGACGCATTTCAGCAGAGACATAGTGGAGATCGCTGCTCCATCGTACTTCAATATGTAAGAGCACCATCCCCCTTCAGTTATGAAATGTTATTTACTGCACCATTTTGGATTAAATTTTTGCTTTTATAATCATCAAACTGAATTTGAGTAATTTCCATCAAAGTATGGTTGAAAACTTTACAGTTTGCCTCCTGATGTAGACGTCCACTGTGATCTAAGACGTTCTTGTTGCTCTTTCTGAAAACTGCTTTCTACTTTTTTTTTCACTTTATGCATAACTAACAATTTATGCATAAATAACAATTTGGCCTCTCAAATACCAATAAACTTAAATTTTGTGAAGAACATTTACATTGAAACTAAATGGAATATATTTTAGATATCCAACATAATCAAAACCATTAAATAAAAATAATAAAAACAAAAAAAAAAAACATGACCAAAGCCATAAATAAAATGGATTGTGAAGTTTTCAAAAACAAAAATGCCCTTGAAAAATGATTAAACACCAGAATGGAAATTCATTTTGTTTTAACATACTATCAATTGTTTAACTGCTTACTGCAAAAGGCTTAAATGTTGCCTTTTTTGTAAAACAATTTAAAAAACGAATAAAAAGTACAGAAGCTATAAGTAAAGGAAATGGTAAAAATTAAAATCTGCTGTTTTTGATCTGCAGATCTGTCGCAGTCATGTGAAGGAGACGCAGCAGCAGTTTTTCCACAGTCTGGCAGTGAGACAGAGCCTCCCAGTGCACTTCAACATCCAGCAGGACTGCGGACACTTCCTGGCTGACGTCCCCGCCCGACTGCTGCCTTGGGAAGAGGAAGAGGAGAGAGAAGATGAAGAGAAGCAGCAGGAGGAGGAGAAGCAGAGAGACAAGAATCATGAAGGACAGACAGAGATGGACACAAAACCGACAGACTCTGAAGCGTCGAAAGCTAAGTTGGATGAGGTCCCGGCGGCGGGGAACATGAACTCAGCGGGTCAGCTGAGGAGCCGAGTGGTGGTCATAACGCGCGAGGTGCCCTTTCAGACGGTGGCGGACTTCGTGGGGGAGGGCGCGGCCCGGCACGCTCACAACCCCGAGCTGTACGAACGTCAGGTGTGCCTCCTGCTGCTGCAGCTCTGCTGCGGCCTGGAGCACATGAAGCCCTACCACGTCACGCACTGCGACCTGCGGCTGGAGAACCTGCTGCTGGTCCACTGCCAGCCCGGCAACCCCTGGAACCTGGACGTGCTCGAGCCCAACAACAACAGCAGCAGCAACGGCTCGGGGGCCTCGGCCGCCGCCGCCTCCACTTGCCCCGCACGCCTCATCATCAGCAACTTCTCCCAAGCCAAGCAGAAGAGCAGCCTCATGGCGGCCAACCAGGAAACGCTGCGCGACCAGTCGCGGCTAGCGCCCGAGATCATCACGGCCACGCAGTACCGCAAGTGTGACGAGTTCCAGACTGGGATTCTCATCTACGAGATGCTGCATAGACCCAACCCGTTCGAGGAGACGCCGGACCTGAAGGAGCGAGAGTACACCTGGGCGGACCTGCCGCCGCTGCCCGTCAGGTCGCTGTACTCCCAGGGGCTGCAGCAGCTGGCCAGGCTGCTGCTGACGGTCAACCCGTCGGAGCGGATCCAGATGTCCGAGGCGCGCGCCTGCCTGCAGTGCCTGCTCTGGGGGCCGCGGGAGGACCTGTTCCAGGCCCTGGGCTGCGGCAGCGGTGCCGGCCCCGTGTCGGGGGCCACCGCCAGCCAACGGGAAGCAACGCTGCAGAACTGGTTGGACCTTAAGCGGACGCTGATGATGATAAAGTTCGCGGAGCGTTCACTGGACATGGCCTGCAGCGTGAGCCTGGAGGACTGGCTGTGCTGCCAGTACCTGGCCTTCGCCACCACGGACAGCCTGGGCCGTGTGGTCCACATCCTGCAGCAGCCGCAGCAGCAGCCCCACAACCAGAACCAAACCCAAACACATCTGGCGCACGCCCACCGCCTGGCTCAGCCACAGCAACTCTAAACTGTTACTATGGCAACACCTCCAACTTCTACCCCTCTATCTCTGCTCCCTTCAGCTGATGAAGTGTGATGTAAGCTAACGGTGAGCGCCAGCCGAACGCGGAGCGGTTTGTTTTCCCCGTCGGACCACACGGCGAGAGAGACGGCATCTCATCAAGCAAACAGCACGACCTCATGATCAGATCCCATTACTGCAATGTTCTTAAATCAAGTTCAGTGACGAGCCGAAGCACAGGAAGTCTGCAGGAGTCAATCTGATCAGAAGCAGCAACAAGTTACCAAACATGCAAGGAGATTTTATCCATCAGGTTCTTTAATGTTCTGCAAAGACGAAGTTCTTTAGAACGCTCTTAGCGCCGAGATCATCACGGATTAGATTAATTTTAGGGTTGAATTTAAAAAAAAAAAACATAGATGATTTGATATGGAAAAAATAAGAAACCAATATTTTTTTAAAGGAATTTGATCAAAATTTTAACCCCTTAACACTTCAGGCAGGTCAATGGGTCTATGAGGACACTGGCGTCGTCATGACAGTTTAGTGGTTTGAAACTCAAAACTGATGCAGAGTAGACGATGACTCACTGAAACCAAAGATCAGCCACAAGCTGCTCACTACAGCATGAAATGACAGGGTTTAATGGCTACATCAGAGACATGTGGGTTTCAGATCTGGTTTTGGTGAAGCTTTCGATTTTGATTTTAGTTGAATATTAGAAGACATAAAAATATCATTGAATTGTGTCTTTTAACACTCTGTGATTAATTATATTAGGAGAATCGGCAATGGCACACTGTGTGTGTCAGCAATTGCTGTAAAAAAGAATTTTATTAATTAAAATGAAAACATTTATTACAGAGTTGACATTAAACTAGCTTCGTCAACTTGTATTGGTGTTTAGCAGCATTAGTGCAGTTTGCATTAGAAAAACAGGTAATTCCCAGATTTCTAAAAGGCTGTCAGCATTTCAGAAAGGATGAAACTGAGCAATTCTCCTCTCAAATGTTTAGCCTTCCTGTTATGTGCTTGAAGTCTTGCTTTCTCTCACTCACTCGCAGCCTGAAAGAACCGTAGTCGTCTTACCACATAACATACGTAGCTTACTTCTCTGTTCTTCCTCCGAATTCAGCTGTGACCAACTCAGATTCAGTCTTTCATTCAGTAACTTAGCTCTGTTAACAATCTGGTTGCTCTTGGCATGGTTTGGTCACTAATAAAAAAAAAAGTAGATTTTTGAGTTACTTATTTGTAGTTTTAACAGGATCGTCACATTTCATCTGAATGCCCAGCTAGTCATCTATTGCAGACTGGCCCTAAGGTTTGCATCACTCCACATTTTTAAATGTTGTTTTAAAAACCGTAAGCTAGTCTGCTTTGAACTGAATTCTTTCACGTTCACCCTCACTGAAATGAAACTTGGACACATCTGCTCTTGGCTGCAAGTCTGACCTCCACTCAATGTTTGTGCAATGGATTGTTTTATCACAGCGGTTGACTAATTGATTCCTCCGTTAGTTTTGTGGCACATAAACTGATTTTCAGTCCTGCAACTTTTGGGGGGGAATGAACAAAAAAAGAAACAAGTGAATTTCAGAGTGAACATCTTCCATCGGGCGGAATGTTTCACGGACTGCAAAAACGCAAGTCTTTGTTTGTTTGTCTTGTTTTTGTCAAGTTGTTTTTGAACAGTTCTGAGTTACGGATGATATTTGCACACTGAGTCAGAGCGGCGGCGGCCCTCTGCGGACGCCTGAGGTCATAACGCAACGGACGACTGGGAAAAGTTGGGAATTGGACGATGTGGTTAGACATTTGAACTTCGTCGCATCCTCCTACTGAACTGCATTTTTTAAAAGTATTTAAGCATCTTTGAAAGGAAATACTCAACCACTGGGATATGTTTCTCATCCTCTTGTTCTAATCCAGCCAGTCCTGAAGTGAATCCAGCTCATCCGTCAGCTTTAACTAAAGAGATCAGTGTTATTGAACGCAGCATTCTAGCTTCGATTTGGTAGAGTCTATGCAGGTACTCGAGTCTCCGATCCGCCAGTCAGAATTTCATTTTGAACCAACTTAACAAATAACATCTTTAACTCGGATTCAACACTTTTTCACAAGTTTACTTGACTGGATCCAGTTTGTTTTACAGACTCTGCAGCAGAAGCGTTGCTATGGGATCATTGCTTGCAGATGTACAGTAGCAACTCAATGGTCCACAAAATGGGGGGAGAAAAAAAAAAGAAACAAAGTAGGAGTGAGTTTGTTACTGCGGTAGAGTGTGGTGAGGAATGTGTGTGGGACAGCACTGGTGGCTGGCCGCCTTTATTTAGAAAAATATATAAATTTTACCTTTTCTCTATTTTAATCTGCACACTGTTTTATTGAGTACAGAGCACCTCTATTTCTCGTTAGAGCCTGATAGTCATTTATTCATTGTTGCTTTACTTGACTTTCTTTCTTCTCGCATGTTCTGGAGGAAGAATAAAGTGAGTAGTTATCACTGTCCTACGCGAACAAACGACCAGACAAGATTTCCGTTTTCACACGCCACAGTGTACAGTATTTTACTGAGTTTGCCTAATGAGGAGAACAACCACTTTGGCTGAAGGACGTCCTTTGAACCGGCTTTCGACAAGTTTGGATGACGCGTCATGTGTGCCGATAAATGCCACTGAGTTTTAAAGAACAGGAGCTCTGCTATGCTTTCTGTGACTGTGTAGAGTACGTCCTCTGGCTTCATTGTTGTTAATTGTTGAACAAGTTAGCCGACTGTAACAGAACAATAAATATATGTTTTTATATATACATGCTGTCTTTGTGTCTTTTTAGCTTAAGTAAGTTTGTGTGCTTTGGTGACCATATTCACTGACAAGTTTTATGTTTCTCTCCATAATAGGGCTTTATGTTGACTTTGATTTATATGCCTTACCCCAATCATAAAAAAAATATTATCAAATATATTTCTTTAAGGTACAAGAGTATTTATAATAAAGGTGATCCGCCGCATTGATATTAGGCCCATCAGGTAGCATAGTGGTAAAAACTAGCCCCTTGTTCTGCGTTTTGCTAGGATCTGGAATTGGTAACTGAGAAATGATTTCCTGGAGGCGTGGCCTTTGTTAACCAATCGTTAACGTTTGGCCGTGACGTAATGCGCCAGTTCGACGCTATGAAGCTAACCGGAAATTGTTTGCAGCTCTAACTGTCCTACACTGTGAAGAGAGAAATGCAGGCTGTTAATGTTAATTCAGTATTAATTGTAAGCGCGGCTAACACGGACTGAATGAATTCATTCACTTACTCCGCTGCCTTTGCTAAAACTACAGTGATAATACAGTTTTGAAACGGGGCAGAAAATCAATATCCCGTTGAAATTTTACCGTAGGAATCCACTTAAATGGGATTAAAGACCAGACAGAGCAGTGAAGTGAGACTAGAATCGAACAGAATGGCGTAAAAGGTAATAGCCATGCTTGAAGGTTAGTAATATACCAGAAAAGTTGTATATAAGTAAACACACAGTAGTATTTAAGGTTAATAGTGAGCTAGCAAATAATGACATGTCTACTTTTATTGCCAAAAATAGACGTCGGATTTTGAAGTGTAATGAAGGTGGTTGTCTTATTTTCTAATTTTAAAAAAAGAGAAGGTTTTCTCTTTGGCCACCAGAGGGAGACCTTTACAAGGCAGAGAAAATCAGCCGCACCACTCGTCTTTATATTGTCTACTTCCACTACAATACATTATAACCCACTCATACAGCAAACATTCAAAAATGAATCTTAATAAAGGCGGAAGGCCATTCATTATCTTATTTCAACCTTGTCCAGTTCGCTTGTAACTCGCAAAATATATTTTAGTTATGAATTGAATTTCAGTTTACTGCAGTTCACAGATAAGTCAGCCCTTAACAAAAAAAAAAAAAAAAACACATTTCACAAGACTTATCAAATTCATACCTAGAAACAGCCAGTCAGCCGTCAGGCATCAGCACTTAATCCCGCCCACTGAGTTTGACTGGTAAAATTGACAGATTAAATTAATTAAACAGATTAAACCATGAAATACTTCTATTAAGTTTTCAAAAATGAAATCAAAACGTTTAAATGAGGCATACATATAGTTAATTCCATTTTTAGTCAGTTGTTCCTGTATTCATTTTTGGCTTTAACAAATTTAGGACGCATTTAAATAATTATTTCTTACTTGTTGCCATTTCACGCTCCGTGTTTGTGCGCCTTGCCCACCTCCGTTCCAGACGCCTTACATAACTTCACACTGAATCATCCCTGCCGGCTCAGATCTCAGGAGGAGCAGGCAGGAGCTGAGGGAAGACTCGGAAAGTTAAGAGGAGGATCTCCCCCTGAAACGCTCTCACGCACACCCCTCCCCATCTTGTTTCTGTTACCCGCCACCCCCTCCCTCTGATTGCGTTGCGTAATCGCGGCGTACGGTGTGTGTTTGTGTGTGTAGCGAAGCAGGTAGCCAGCTCCTGCAGCCTCCATCTCTCTCTCTCTCTCTCTCTCTCTTTGTGTGTGTGTGTGTGAGCGGATCAGCATCAGCAGCGGGAGGCGGTGGACGCGTTCCTCTCGCATCCTGGACCGGTTCAGGTTGCGCTGCAGGGGAGGGACTTTGCTTGTGCAGACTGGGCTGAGCTGCAGCAGGGATGCATCAGGCGGCAGAGACGGACCTCTGAGTTGACTGGAGAAACCCAGGGCCTCCTCTTTCCTCTGAGAAAGAAGAAGAAGCGTGAACGCTGTTTCTCTACCTCCTCGTCCCTCCTCCTACCCCCCACCGGGGGTAAAATAAACCCCGAACACCGCTGGAGTCGCTGGATGGAGAGAGTCGCCTGAAGAAGGGAGAGCGGTGGAGTTGCTCTCCTCCTCCCCCCTTTCTCTCTACTGCACCAAAAGAAAACCCCGAGTAAGCTCCTCACACACACACACACACACACACACACGCACACACACACACACACACACA